GCCCACAGGCCTCCCTTAATGAACTCTCCAGCATCCAAAGGCACTTGAGTGTGAGATCACTCATCGGAAAATGCCTAAATCTGAGGGCCTGTGAATTTACAGCCCCAGCACCCCCCCCACAAGCCCCCCTTTCCCCTCCCCCAGTCCCTGCTCCTCCAACTTAAAGGACACTTTACCTGGGATGTTTCTTGTGCAGAGAAGGCCCTGAGCCTTGGCTTACACCTTTATGGATGTCCTCTACTTGGCATGGCTGCCAGGTGTGAGCCTTGTCCTCTCTCATGGCCACATGCCCTGGAAATGCTGATTTATATTTGCTTCTGGAAGGGAGACAGATGAAGCTTGTTTTAGAATGGAAGGTTAATCCAATTTCAGAATCCATCAAACGGAGATGATTTCTGTTATTTTCATTTAATCTGGAACATTCCGTCTGTTCAAACTTAGAAACGAATCAATTGCTGGAAGAAGGAAGGCCCTTCACGAGCTTCTACACTCCTGTGTTGGATGCCTTTCATTTCCCACAGCAGGGATACACTCAGTATGGATAAAGTAGCTCCGGGCATTTCTACTGGACTTTGCGAATGTCCTTCATCTGACTGCCGGCAAGTGGGCGCCAGGTGTTGCCAACTGTTAGCATATCGTCTTACAGGGAACAGGTGCTCAAACATTGCCCAATGGATACATGAACGCGCACACACTTTCTAGCAACTGGAGGCGATGCGAAATAACTCGCTGAATCTCACCCAAATTATAGGCATGATTTTATTTTTAGAATACTGTATGGCTTATAAAGAGTTTTCACACACATTCTCCATAAATTATTTTCCGTATTTTAAAGTTGAGGAAACAAGGCTTCAGGAGGTTAACTAACTGCAAAGTCATACTGTGGCGTTCAGCTTTCCAGGACTCGGGTTACCCTTTTCAAAATAAAAGGTAATATTAAAAAATAATTGTTGAAAAACTATTGCTTAAAGCTGTGGAAGCTAAAGCTTTAGATACTAAAACAGAAAAAAAACCACCTATCACAAAAACTGGAAACAATACCTAATCTTTATAATCTTTATAGTTTCCAAGCATGTGCTCACATCTGATTTCCTTTGGCCCCCCGCAACAACTCTCCCCCGGCGGAGTAAAATCCTCTCTCATTGGGTGAGCCGACCCTAAGAGACTGCCCCGACGATCTTTCCAAAAGACAGGTCAGACTGACAGTTAAGAACCGAACTCGCATACTCATGCCATCTACTGGTGCTTTTCTGGTAGCATGAGTTCCAGCGGACGTTATATTAAACATTTTTTGTGCAGGGTAAAAATCAGCAGGGCCACTCAGATGTTTTACTCATTATCCGCCAAGTCCTTGAAAATACTGCCCCCTCTCAATCGTTGAGACTCGTTTTTGAAGGAGGCTACTTTAAAACAGGACTCAGGATTTACTCAGGAAAGGGTTTGAAAAGCTTTGGATTCCTTTTGGCATTTTGGCAGGTTTTAGAAATGCCTCTGAGCACCTTCCAATTGGCCTGGAACCTGGGGGCAGGGAGATGGCTTAGCTAGGAAAAGAGAACACTCACAGAATCTTCATGTGGTCACAGTAACGCCTCCACTTTGCCCGGTGTTTTCTGGGAGGGCTACAGGTAGAGTTGGTTAGCTGAGAAGGTAGTGTGGCCAGGTGCTGACAGTTCACTCCGTGGGACCTCAACAGTTGGTGGAAGTGAAATTCTGGGAACAGCTGAAGCCCACCCTCCTGACCCAGGGGCACACCAGGTGGGATCTCCCACTGCACCAGTCCCTGAAAACCTCTGGCCAATCCTCAGGAACATAAATACCTCCTTTTCCAAAGCTGGGCTTTGCTCTCGGTATGTTTTTTTTTTATTATTAGATGGAATTGGTTTTTGTACTTTGCGTTAAATCCAGGGACAAGAGATGACTTGTTCATCGTTAGGGCAAATCCACAGAGGATTGAAATGAGATGATTTGGTATATAAAACCATTTTTCTCATAATCTTAGTACTCTTTAAAAATTGGACTAACTCCATTAGAGCACTAGTATGAAATAGGCTAAGACAAACACAGGAGAAAGAAAATTAGGTTTGTAAAGGAACTAGTCAATACCTGTAGTGAAAATTCTTACAGGATTCTTCTCAAAAGTTACCTTGTCTGGCTGGGGGGGAAATGGAGGCTTTTTTTTTTTTTTTTATTTACCTTATCACTGAGGTTGTATTCACTACACTTTACCTTGGTTTCCTTTTGTTCCATGGTAGGAGAAAAATAGGAGCCTTGACAATTATTGAAAGCAAAGTAAAATGTCTATTGAGGCAGATTATGAAAGGTTCCTTATGGCAAAAGGTCAAGATGGTAACATTTGATAAAGAGCAGATTTCTAGCCCTAATTTGTTATAAAGGCATATCAAACCAGGAAGGATTTAAAGAACTTTGAAAGCATTCTGGCCATTCATTAGAGTAAAATTAGAGTAAATTGTGAAGGATTGTAAAGGTCAACTGGAAAAAAGTATAGATACATTTACATAATACTTAACCGGTTTTTAGGCCATGTATTTCACTATGTTTTAACAAGAATCATTTAAGATAGGACTTTTTATAATTCATACTTGAGAAAACAAAGGTTAAGAGGTTAAGTCACACACTTCCCAAAGTCACATAGTTAATAAATCACACTCGTTATTAAAGACAGGCCTTTGAAGGCTAGTGATCTTTCTAGAAAGATTTTTCCCGGAGACTTTTCCCCTCCTTTTAAAAAGTATATCTTAGGAAAAAAGTTTATCTGTTGTATTTACTCACTTTTAAGGATCACTGTTTTTAAGCAGGTGGACATCATATTAATCCTTTTTTTTTCTTGTTCATCCTTCTAAGTCTTTTGGCCTCTTTTTGAGAAATACCTGTTTGTACCAGGTGGTAACATACCATAAACCATACATTGCATTAGCACCCTTACCTGCAGGGAATACATCCAAGGCCCCAGTTGATGCCTGAAAGTGCGGGTAGTACCAAACCCTATACATATTGCTTTTTCCTATAATTTATAAATTAGGCACAGTAAGAGACTAACAATAAAATAGAACAATTTTAAGATACTGTAATGAAAGTTATGTGAATATGGTTTCTCTCAAAATATATTGTACTGTTCTCACCCTTCCTCTTCCTGTAATGATGTGAAATGATAAAATACCAATGTGACTAGAGGAAGTGAGGTGGATGACGTAGGCATTTTGATGTAGGTCAGGCTACTCCTGACCTCTGACCGTATGTCAGGAGGATCATCTGCTTCCTGACCCACAGGTGACTGAAATCTCAGCAACGGAGACCATGGATAAGGAGACTACTGTATTGAGTTTGAATAACCCTTTCAATAGTGATGGTCATGTATTTGCAGATAAGTTATGTTTGCATTTGGGTAAAAAATCTGGATTTCTTGGCTCCACCTCAGAGACCAATCCAGTATTGGGAGAGGCATAATTCACTGTTTAACAAGTCTCCCAGGTGGTCAGATTACAAATATTAAAAGCCTAAATATGTTGAGTGTTGTCCAGGATCACAAAACCCTTAATGGTGCTTTGGAATGTATATTTTATGCCATAATAGGTTTCAATTTGTTAAGTCCCACTATTCTAAAATAAAGAAGCCATGCAATTCATACTCAATTTTAGATGGGTATGCATCCTAATTTTTCCTTTTAGTTCCGCTTTATTTCTAGAATTCTCATATTAGTGCAAAGTGCTAGCCTAACAGGAGTTTTTCAGTTTAATCTTGCTCTACTCCCAATTCACACCTTCCTTCCCTAGAAGGTTTTATATGGCTCCTGGTGGGAAGTTGGTGTTAAAAACAGGCATGCAATAGTGGATGTCTAAACTGTGAGATATTTTTATAACTGGTGTGGAAATGAACCACCATAAACATGTCTCTGAATCTTTTACAACTGGTAGCTTCCCAATACTGCTGGATCCAAACTACCTGTGGACTGATTTCGGCCTGGGGTATGGGGCCATCCCATAAGACTTTTATGAATAAATAAATTTAGAAAATAGATACGCTATTTTTCTCCTCCAATCCAGAAGTAGCCATTTACAAGGGTAACTTAAATTGTTACAGTAATTACTAACAAACGCTTAATCCCAAAAATACTCACTTTAGGTTCTCTTTAAATAAAAGCACTCATGTTTAAAACCAAAACAACTTATGGCCACTGTCATCTAAAATGAAGGGGGTTTTGAAGTCTTCAAAGATTAAAGCTTTACCTGTACAACCCCCAGTAATCCGCTTATCTTGTGGTATACTCTCCCCTGTATGTGGTCAACCTCTTCATCCCAAAGCAGAATCACTCCCATTAAGTGCTTTCCCATCTCCAGTGAACAGTGTTCATTTTTCAATAAACAATCCAATCTGACTTCATCGTTCATGTTGCTCTTTTTTTCAGTTTTGCAAACGTAAGTTTTTAAAAGGCACAGAGGACCTCGTTGTTTGTTGTGTGTACCTGCCAGTTCCCTAAGTTAACCTAGTGATAGGACATTTTTTTGTTCATATATACTAAACTGTAGTTTGTCAGTGTCTGAGGCAAAAATCATCACACAGAAGTTACTACTGGTAAATTCAGTATCTCCTGGTGTAGATTAGGTTAAATTAACTAAGCCAGAATATCACCTTATCACTAACTGAAGAAAGCCATAGCTACTCAAAGGTATTACGTATGTGTTCACATTAAAACTAAGATAAGATGTTATTAAAACTAAGTTAAAACTAAGACAAGGAGGGCGCCTGGGTGGCTCAGTTGGTTAAGCAACTGCCTTCGGCTCAGGTCATGATCCTGGAGTCCCGGGATCGAGTCCCGCATCGGGCTCCCTGCTCAGCAGGGAGTCTGCTTCTCCCTCTGACCCTCCCCCCTCTCATGCTCTCTGTCTCTCATTCTCTCTCTCTAAAATAAATAAATAAAATCTTAAAAAAAAAAAAAAACTAAGACAAGGATCAGTGGGAAATAAGTAGTTTTGCAAAACCAATGCAAGACAAAATATACTTTATTGTGACAGCGAATGCACATAGTGCTGCAGGTAAGGCATGCTACCAGGGATCTGCATATAATCAAAGGCCAGTATGGAAATGAATGGGAATGAAAGCTGTCTCTTAAAGCTTGAAGATTTATTCCATGGTGAAGGAAAGATCATTTGTGTCCACTTATCTCAAATGCAGTATTATACACCTACTTAATCAGACACCTATGCCTCTAACCAAGAGCCGGGAAGCAAAGAAGAGAAACTTAATCTTAACTGTACTCAAGAGTCACTTCTAATATCAATGAAAGATTTTGCTAGTTGAGGCAAACATCCTTTATAGACAAAGACCTAGAGATTGAGCACTCAAACATCCATTCATACATTTAAATAATTAGCCAATTTTAATGTCATTTATTCCACCAGAAACAAATACTAGAATACCTAGAAATAGTTTGGATAAAGAAACATTTATATTTTAATACTTCATAATGTTGTACGTTTGGGGCTAAAATAACACCCTGAGTCAAATTTGATCCCTGAAGGGACCAAGTACAGTTTTAATTTCAATAGCTGAACTTCGGAGGGAAGATCTGAGAAAATAATGCTAATGACAGATCTAGTCCTTTGATGAAACTATTAGGTTCTACAGACTTATCAAAATCAACACCAAATTGAGGATAGGCTGAAAATGCTTTGCAAAGCATTATTTTTAGATAGGCTCCTTCATTTTCCCTTCTTTTAAAACAGATGCAGATGAAATGCTTTCTGCATGAACGCACACTGACATTCTGTTCAACTCTTTTCTAAATGCAGTACTATGGGTTTAAACAGTAGGCTTTAATTTAAGCACAGTAATCTCTTCTACACAGTCAATTTAGCTCGAGAGAGGAAAAGAAACACTACCATGAAAATTACTTATCAAATACTCCGCTCTTCTTTTAGAAGGTGTTTTTAAAAGCAACACAGGACCAAAAACATCCAACTATTACTTTATTTATATTACTATGCTTAAGTTACATGGAAAAGACAACCAAGCAGTTCTGCCCCATTTCAGGAAAAGTTTCCAATCAACACCAATTATGTGGTGACAAATAACTAGGAATGGTGACATCTTTGGGTCAAGACTGACAAGGAAGGATGGGCTCTGGTGCTACGGTTCATCTCCAACAAGAATATGGCACAGCGGCCAGCACAAGCCACACTAACACTGAACCTTTAGCGCTGGTCACAAAGTCGGGTCTCTTCCCTCAAGCTAGCAAATCAAGTGAAATAACGGGGTTTAAAAAACATTTTTTTAAATGAAGCCCAAATAAGTTTAAAAACCATGCTCTTGACACATTTTCCTTTCAAAATTTACATAAAACACACTTTTTCACTCTAACAGCCCAGATTTTTTTTTCCTCACATAGCCCATCATGTAGGTGCAGATAGATTATTCTGCCTCAAGATGTAAACATAGGGGAAAAAAAATTAACGGCATCTGCATAATATTCTCTCTACACACTGCTGCTGGATGGAAAATTGAAAATTAAAAAAAAAGAAAGAAAGAAAGAAAGAAAGGTTCCATCTTAGATTCTCACAACCTCTTGTTCCGCAGTTCATGAATCCGACCCTGATGCTAAGGTGACAGTGTATGTAAGTAGATTTTTGTTTTCAGTGAAGGAGACCTGGGAAAAGATGGAGTTATCTCTTTGTCTTCAAGAGTTATCAGATGGTACGTGCTCCTCGAAGCCCTCACTCTCTCGTACTAGAGCGCGTTCCAGGATCACACGGCCTTCCTTATAGCGCTGGCTGTCTTCAGTGGCGAACTCATAGATCCATCCCAGTTTGCTATTGCAGTTCTTGCAGCTCACATCTCGAACCATGTGGCGGCCAGTGAGCATGACCCGGTCTTGAACTTCACTGTACTGCAGGTTAACTACCTAAGAAACATGGGAACACAAAATTGCCAAGCCCTGTGAGTTATCTGCCAAAGAAGTACACATTATTTTGGTTGGTGCAATAAGAGCAACTTCAGAAAAGCAAACAGCAGTTGTTACTTTAGTCAAACCTACAATACCCTTCCCAAGAGCTATTTTTAGAACTTGCTGGGAAAGGCAAATATCTGGAAACTGCACTGCACTGGCCATCTAATGCAGTCTTGCATTACCGTACCATGTACTAGTCCAAGCTGCACTACTTATATATCCTGTAGTCACATTTCTGTTGCAGTGAAGAGTCCTCCACCTGGAGCCATAAAACGTTGGTTTGGATCCAACTGTTATCATTCACCATTCAATGAGGAGTTCAAATAAGGCTACCAATGAAAGAGAACCTAGTATACAACAGGTATTCCACAACTACAAAAAAGTTTGCCAAATTTGTTTCTAGACATACATTTTATATACAAACCAACTGGGACACACTAGGCCTACTACACTGTGATATAGTTTTCAAATGGGTTCAAATAATCTGTGAAGAATTTCCAGTGATTCTGAACATCCAATAATCCTCTATGCTTTACTTTTCTGTAAATGGCCATATAGTAAATATTTCTGGCTTTGAGGGCTGTATGATTTTTATTTTAACTATTTAGCTCTGCTATTGTAGCACAAAAGCAGCCATAGGCAATACATACATGAATGAGCATGCTGTGCTTTATTAAACTGCATTTACAGCAACAGGTAGCTGGCCTGCCATAGTATACCAACTCCTGCTCTGTACCTAAAGAAAGATCAAGAGATCTACACTATCATTTCTTTCAGAGAAAAGCTTATTTCTAAATGGAACAGAGGGGTGTCCACTGGGAAGTCTAGCTGACCTTTAAGAGCAGTACCCTGGACTAGTTCTGCCCCTTAGCCTAAAAGATTTGGAAATTCAACTCTGCTAATACACATCAGACTCCAGGAGGCAGAATCACATCAACCAATCTTATTTCATTTCATTTTTTAAAAGATTTTATTTATTTATTTGACAGAGAGAGACACAGTCCGAGAGGAAACACAAGCAGGGGGAGTGGGAGAGGGAGAAGCAGGCTCCCAGCTGAGCGGGGAGCCCCATGTAGGGCTCGATCCCAGAACCCTGGGATCATGACCCGAGCCGAAGGCAGACGCTTAATCGACTGAGCCACCCAGGCGCCCCTCACATCAACCAATTTTAGAGCAAGCCAGAAATCAGAGAAGCAGACAGACTAGTCATTAATTTGTAAATCAGGGAACACTCTTCCTGTTGGCATGCAGTAAGCCACAACATAATCAGGATGACTGGTGAGCATAAATTAGAGCAAGGGAAGTTGATTAGATGATCTTTATTCACTTGCACTGTCAAACTATGAAAGCTTAACGCAGCTCTCCCTAGGATAAATCAGTAACATGGATATAGGGGTACTTCTGCCCCTTCTTCCATAGTCTGTGAAGTCACTACTAAATTCTTACACTGAATGTTTCATGAAGCAATGGAGATTGCCCTTCTTATTGTAACACAGTCTTCAAACTTCCACAGTGAAACTTCACATTCTAGGAATGCCTTCCTGAGGTCCCAAAGACAAGCTAGTGGACACTTTCCTGCATACAGATTACAGCTCTCATTCGGACTCTTCCTGCTATCTCCAAGCTCTGAGGGATATTCTGGTATTGCTGTCAAATATATCCACTGAACTCACTTAGGAAATGAAGCTGGTTTTCCCACCAACCTTGTTAAAAAGAAATGCTCTGCCAGTGGCGCCTGTGAACCGAGTGGAGATGAGCTCTGAGCGGTTGGTCAGGATTGTATCGCAATTTGCACAAGAAAACAGACGGGTACCACCGATATGATCGAGGAAAATTCTGCCCATTTTTATAGCTGAAGTTCTAAAAACCTAGGAGCAAATGGAAAAGAACAAGAAAGCATTAGGATTAAAAAAAATTGTTGGTATCTACTTGGTGGGGGTCACAGAGAACCATTTATATATATATAATGATCTCTGCTTTGTAGTTCTTAGTATGGGAAGTAGTTGACTCTGTGCTAAAGGATCCAAGGTTCATGCACTGAACAAACGAACAGGCATACCAAGCTAAGAACTGTTTAGAAGCAGTGAGCCAAGGAAGCAAACATGTTTAGGCAAGGCTGGAACAGTATCACTTCTCTTTTGGCTGGTATGACAAACACAGGAAGAAACTGGAGTATCAGAAACCGAATAATGAGAAGCACAGGCAGAAATGTGAGAAAAAAGGCTTTAGCCTAAGTGTTAAGGGTACATTCTGAGCATATGTAATCTGAGGAAAGACTTGTGGGGCACGTGTGGGGGATCACAAGAGTAGAAAAAGGGGCAATCAGAAATGGGAAGAGGGTAGTCCCGGTTAAGAGAGGGGCAGCTCCGGCCATCAGGCACCCTACAATCCCGGAGGGGGGATGGCACTAACAGCAGTATGGTAGGAGTCTGTGGGGGCACTGTACTCGGTGCTTCTCTTGTTTCAGAATCATCCCAACAACTCTGTGAGGTTATCACCCCCATTTCATAAATTATCCACGGTTATTAACTGATCAAAGGTCACACAGCTTTCAAGTACAGAAAATCATCACTGGAATGCAGTTCACCCACCCTAAAGCCAAAATTCTTGCATTACCCTGGTATAAGGCTAGGAAAACAAGCACAGAAAAGAAGGGAAAGATAAGCCATTATTACATAACTTATATTTAAGAAACCATACTGATTCAATAAATCACAGAAGTGCTGAAACATTGAAACAAGAAGCTTTGAAACCCAGATTCTGAAAACAAGGATAATCACACTTCAGTATTTCAAAAGTTAGAGTTAGTATGTGCAACTCCTTGAATTCACAGCAATTAATCCCCTTAAGCACTATTTTTTAAAGATGTAGATATAGTCAAGAATACACTACAGCTCTCATTAAATAAAGAATTTATTCCTGGTATAGTTTTCAGCTCCTGTGTTTTAAATATTTCTATCACCTATCTTTAAAATGGCATGCAGAGCTGATGCAGCTGCCACTATGAAAACAACCCCTACAATCTATGTTTGTAGTACGAATCCACTGTCATTTTAAATTTGGGGAAATTTCATTACAAGTTAAAAATTCCATCATTCCTTCTTACATCTGTGAACTTCCTTTAGTTATTAGGCAGTCCTAATGTCACCAAAAAAGTCATCACAAAGATTATGATGATTTCCATTAAACATTTTGATATGGAAGTTTAATAAGAAAAACAAATGGTAAATACAATTAAAATTTGTGGCTAGTGAAAGGAAAACCACTGCCCATTAACAAACATGTCAATGAATAAACCCTGGGTGAAAACAAGACTTAAGAAATATTTAGCTTTTTGATTACATTTCTGCAAAATGACAACAGAAGAGTTACTATTGTTTCACTAGCCTTTAAAATGATAGCACTACTTTTTTCAGATGCTTAAGAACACAGTATTTGTTACATAAAGGTCAGAGCTTGCAAATTTTAGGCCTGCAGGCTGAACTCATTTGGTGGCATAGGGATAAAACAGTGAACAAAACAAATAACCCTTCCCTTATGAAACATGTGCACATGTTTAATTTGGCCGACAAAGTTTTTTATTAATAAAAAACACCTGGGCCACCATCAAACATGAAAGATTGCATTAAAGAGCCTATGTTTTGTTTTGTTTTTTAAATAGGGAGATCTGGCCCACAGGGCATGTGTTCTCCTGTGGCAACAATGACTGGAGGTGACTGGTAGCTGCACTCCCCCAAGGTCATTGGGTCTGCTCAGTCACCACTTTGCATCACATAATTACTTCCCCTGTAAGACATCTGGGTTTATGACTCTTCACATAACCACAGCATACAACAACTTGTGAGCAGGTGATCTGGGTCATGTTTCTTACAGCTGCTCAACTACAGAAAGTCATCAACAGCAAGGTTTTACAGTCTCACCTCTTAAGACAGTCCTCAGATTCCATAATTCTCTGAAAACCAGTATAGTGCAGTGATTTAGCCTCCTGCTTGGGCTTCTGAGACTCATTACTTTAAAGCGAATTTTCCTTCAAACTTTTAAATATTCATATTGTAACTTCTTTCAACCATAATGCAGTATTAACTAGATGTTTTTGAACTGGCCATGGCAGACACAAGGCCGCTGTGGAAAATGTACTGAGACTTCAAAATGAACTCTCCCTGTACCCTCTGCCTACATCATTCTATCTTTAACTCAAAATTACCATATAGCTGTGACCATTTGCTACTGGATACAGGCAATCTCTTCATTCCTAAATGGGGTAAAGAGATTTAACATGTTTTTTCTTCCTTGCTTCAAATTCAGTCTATTTTTTACTTTTACCCAAGTATTTTTACTGGATTCAATTATATGATTCATTACCAAGACCAAAAATATCTGTGCAGAATCACTATTCCTAGTTGTGATTTCCATTTATAGAGTACTATATATGGATATAAAACTGTAAAATTAGTTATTTGCCAAAAAAGATAGGCTAGAATGCCATGGAATCTAGCAAAAGCAAGCAAAACGTCCCTTTCTATCAAAGGTCTGATCTTTAGGAAGTAGAAAAACCTCTGCAGGGTCATTAGGTTCTAGGTGTTAAGCCTTAGTTTTGCAGGGCTAGAGACTCGACCTACTGACTCACACTATCCAAATTCTCAAGAGGCTGTTATCAATCAGAATGCCACTTTATATTTAAGGAGAAAGGTCATTAAAAAGCTAAGACGTAGTGCCTGAATCAGACTCCTTGGACCTGGAGGATATACTGAACTCTGCCTTAGACCTAGTAATTATTTAGTGTCTACACTGTATGGGACACTAGGTCACATTCCACATTTAATCCTGACAGTTTTTTAATCGTCACCCTATTTTTGCAGAGGAAGAAATAAAGTCTATGTGACTTCCTGACACTGGCCAAGCTGGAGCCTGAATGAAACCTTGCTCCAGTTGTTCTTTTCCCTCTCCTCATTCTCTAGTGACCAGAGGGCTGCCAGATTCATGGCCTTTCTCCTCAGATTTATCATGTACCCTTCCTGCCTCCATGCTGATCCCTCCTGTATTTCCTTTCTTAGGTGGTGGCCAGTTCGAAAGACATACTCTCCTAAACTAGTAAACCCTGGCAACCTCTCACAAAACGTCCCAAATCACTTTTGGAGGTCTTTCCTCCTTCCCCAGCAATGTCTTAATTCAAATTCTCATCCCTTCTAGATAAACCTCTTGTGGCCAGGGAGTGTATATTATTAAATGCAATGCACATTCACAGGTACCCCTATATTTGTGCTAAATTTGATAGCACTACAAAAATAAGGTCAAAGGCATGTGCTTTAGCCATCTCTCTCTTTTTTTTTTTTTCAAGAGAGGGAGAAGGAGAGAGAGAGAGGAGAGGGGCAGAGGAAGAGAGAGAGAATTCCAAGCAAGCTCCACACCTAGCATGGAGACGACGTGGGGCTTGATCTCACCACCCTGAGATCACACCTGAGCCCAAATCGACGGAGCCAACCAGGTGCCCCACATCTTTTTCTAAGAGCTCATACAGACCACTCCTCTACAACCTTGGAAACTTTTCTTCTGACAAAATAGAATATAGCTAATTCTTTTAGCAAAAAAGTCCCCAGATTTTTAAAGGAATAATTTACACACCATAAAATTTAGCCACTGTTTAAGTATACAATTGAATGATTTTTAGTAGATTTATAAGGTTGTGCCACTACTTTCTATCACCTCCCCAAAATGCCCACAAAGCCCTCTGCAGTCACAGGTAACCAGTGATCTACTTTCTATTTTTGTTTTTACATTCAAAATATTTCCCAGATATGCTAAGTCTCTTGCTTAGACTTAGAAGAGTTCCAAATCTCTTCAGCCACATATTTTAAAAACACCTTAAAATTGAGCTTTTACACATGACTAATGTTCTCTGTGTTGACTCTAGGGGCACCTTACTGTGTCTCTAAGTAATAAAATACATGCTTTGGTATCTGTCAGTGCTGAAGTTCAAGTTTATAACGAAAACTAGGGCCAAACTCATCATAGCTAAAGTTTTAAGATGCTTTCTTCCTTTTTACAATCTCAAGCAAAAAACAGTAAAAATCTTAATTTTAATAAGTACCATTTCCCAGATAATCTTATAAATAAGTCCTCTTTGGTACTAGCTTTTCTTACTTCCAGGTTATTAAAATCGTTAAAAGCTTGAAATAAGTACCAAACATGGTTGTTTACTAGGAGCCTATTATCAGTTTATCTGAAATTAATGGAAACTGAAGGGCCAGGTTGAAAATGTAAGTGAAATTCATAGATGGTCTAAAGATCACATTTTAGTAATTGTTTCAATTTCCTTCCCCCTTCAACAGTATATTTAGCTAGCTAGAATTTTCCATTTCTATTTTAATAGGATACCCTGGTGAAGCAATCACATTTTTGAACCTCTACCTTTTTATAGAATTTTTAAAAAATTCACAGGATTTACAGGATCTGTAAGAGAAAAAAAGTTTTGCTTTGAAAAATTCACAAAATACAATGTCTCCAGGAATGTGTAACAGTTGACCCTTGAACAATGTGGGGGGTGGTGGTTAAGGATGTCAACCACGCGCCCCCCCTGCACAGTGGAAAATCTGCATATAACCACTGACTCCCCAAAAACTTAATAGGCTATTGTTGACCCGAAGCCTTACTGACAACATAAACATAAGCGTCAAATAACACCTTCTGTATGTTGAAAGCATTATATACTGTATTCTTACAATAAAGCTAGAACAGAAAACATTACAAAAACTATGAAAAAATACATCTACAGTACCGTATTTATCGAAAAATCCACACATAAGCAGACTCATGCAGTTCCAACCTGTGTCCGAAGTCAACTATTTCAAAAATTAGACAATATGGACTATTTAATTTCCTACTTTGAGTCCAAGTCAATAAAACAACTCTCTAAAAATGTCTATTTTTAGTTGAGATTTAAGGGTTTTTTTTTTTAAAGCAGTTTTAGGTTCACAGCAAAAAAACACGTGCCAAGATTTTTCTCTTTAAGAAATCCATGAAGGGCAGGTTTTTGTATCCATATAAGTTTTTGGTTCCTTTGGGTAAATACCAAGGAGTACAACTGCTGGATCATATGCCAAGTCTTCCAAAGTGGCTGTACCATTTTACCTTCCCACCAGTAGGGAATGAAAGTTCCTGTTACTCTACACATCCTCTTCAGCATTTGATGATGTCATTGTTCAGGATTTTGGCCATTCCAATCGATGTGTGTGCAGGGGTATCTCGTTTTAATTTGCATTTCCCTAATGGCATATGATATGGAGCACCTTTTCATATGCTATTTGCCATTTTTAAAATCAGGTAGTTTTCTTTTTGTTGAGTTTTTAAGAGTTCTTTGTATATACTGGATAAGACCTTTATCCGACATCTTTGCAAATTTTTTCTCCCAGCCTGTGGCTTATCTTCTTGCGCTCTTGATGTCTTTTGCACAGAAGTTTTTAATTTTAATGAAGTCCAGCTTATCAATTATTTCTTTCATGGATTATGTCTTTGGTGTTGTATTTAGAAAGTCACTGCTATACAAAATGCCATCTAGATTTTCTCCTATGTTATCTTCTAGGAGTTTTATAGTTTTGCA